CGTACGCGACCCGTGGCGGTCATCTTTGGCTGAGAGGGAGTACCGACGCCAAAGAAGGAGTTATCCGGCTAGAATCTTTACCATGACTTGGCTCGGGTCAGTTGGCTTACCAAACCGATCGCGCTGGATCGATATCGAAGCATGCCGATGCATTCGACGGTTACACACAACCGATCTGGTATTCCGAGAGAAGGTGTCAAGGCCGACAAGCGATACATGTCAATAAACGATACAGCCACACAGGCGAATGCGAACTGCATGGCGACACGAATGCATGAGACGTTTTGGTTTCACAATATCTGACGGGACCCACTGATCTAGCCTTAGACACGCCATGCTGTGCCGCGCCGGCTGAGTGCTGCGAGCGTCGCTTGGAGCACGCACGCGAGCACGCGCACTGCTCATCCCGGACGACGCCGTCCGTTCAGAGGGCCACTCCGGCCCCAGCTTCTGACGTCCAGAGAGCCGCTCCGGCCCCAACTCCTACCGTCCAGAGGGCCGCTCCGGCCCCAGCTCCTACCGTCCAGAGGGCCGCTCCGGCCCCAGCTCCAGGCGTCCAGAGGGCCGCTCCGGCCCCAACTCCTACCGTCCAGAGGGCCGCTCCGGCCCCAGCTCCAGGCGTCCAGAGGGCCACTCCGGCCCCAGCTTCTGACGTCCAGAGAGCCGCTCCGGCCCCAACTCCTACCGTCCAGAGGGCCGCTCCGGCCCCAGCTCCAGGCGTCCAGAGGGCCGCTCCGGCCCCAACTCCTACCGTCCAGAGGGTCGCTCCGGCCCCAGCTCCTGGCGTCTTTCCCCACGGCTGTTAGCTGGTTGTGACGTCCTAAGCCCCAGCTCCTGACGTCTCTCCCCGAAGCTCTTAGCTGGATGGGGTGTCTTTAGCTCCGTTGAGTCACGCCAGCCCAGCTACTATCGCGTGTTGTGCGGACATGTGTTCCAGCTCAGCGTGGCGTTCAGCTCAGCTCACGACGAGCGCCCCGTTCGAAGCGCTCGCAGCTCTCTTCCGAAAACGGGGCAGACAGTCACTGACGTCACACTGGGCAGACAGTCACTGACGTCACACTGGGCAGACAGTCACTGATGTCACACTGGGCAGACAGCCACTGATGTCTCATGACGTACCCAACCGTTCAAAAGGCCACATCAGGTATACGGACTGCAGGCATCAATGCATCTCGCCTTGAGGGGGCTACTGTGAAGCCCACGCTGAAATGGTGCGTTTGTCTCTCTTTGATGACTTCCCCGTGAAGATGAATTGCAGACTGCCCAATTTTTCCGATGTGATATTTCGAAAGCCCTGCAGACGGGCTAGCACACATCATCTGCCAACATCTGCCAATGCAGAATTTTGGCTGGCCATGGGCTATCCGGACTTACGCTAACACGTGTCGGCCCATCCCGACTATCTACCCTCCTCGACTGTCTACACTCCTTGACTGTCTACCCTCCTCGATTATTTACCCTCCTCGACCATCTACCCTCCTTGACTGTCTATCCCCCGACTGTCTACCCTCCTCAACAATCTACCCTCCTCGACTATCTACCCTCCTCGACTGTTTCCCCTCCTCGACTGTGCTCGCTGTATTTGCGACTTGCATTATTCACACTACCCGTTCCATCTTGGTGTTGTTGTCGGAATAAGAACAGCTTGCAACTTGCCCAGCACTGCTCACTCTCCTTAGATGAAAGAGAGTGAGCAGTGCTGGGCAAGACTGGAGTCCGCCGCTACTGAGGCTTTTCCTGCATGACGACCCCTCCTCGCGGAGTGGGTGGGAGCGCGCGGGCTGAGCTCCTGCCGGTGGGCTGGGGCTCCCGCCGCTTATGGCTGATGCATGCAGCCGGCTTCGGATAAACGGTACGCTGCGGTTGTGGGCGTGGCTTGTGGCTGCAGGAAGGGGGGGGGGGAGGGGCGGAGCGCCTTCGCGAGAGGGCCGACGGCACACGCCCGCAGCCGTGGTAGCCGAGATGCTCCAACCCTGTCAGCGGGCTGTTCAGTACGCACACGTCTGCCATTGCAGTCTGTCTGGCTGGCGGTGTTTGCGTCAGGCCCACGGGCTGAGGCGCATGTCTGGCGAGTGTACACAAGGCTATCTAACGGCGTAACGGTCACGCTGCCGATAATATCAAACCACCACCGGGGCGCTGCCTCATCAAACCACCACCGGAGCGCTGCGTCATCACATCACCACCGGAGCGCGGCGTCATCACATCACCACCGGAGCCCCGCGTCATCACATCACCACCGGAGCGCTGCGTCATCACACCACCACCGGGGTGCTGCGTCATCACACCACCACCGGGGCGCTGCGTCATCACATCACCACCGGGGCGCTGCGTCATCACACCACCACCGGAGCGCTGCCTCATCACACCTCCACCGGGGCGCTGCGTCATCACACCACCACCGGAGCGCTGCGTCATCACACCACCACCGGAGCGCTGCGTCATCACACCACCACCGGAGCGCTGCGTCATCACACCACCACCGGAGCGCTGCGTCATCACATCACCACCGGAGCGCTGCGTCATCACACCACCACCGGAGCGCTGCGTCATCACACCACCACCGGAGCGCTGCCTCATCACATCACCACCGGGGCGCTGCGTCCTCACACCACCATCGGGGCGCTGCGTTATCACACCACCACCGGGGCGCTGCGTCATCACATCACCACCGGGGCGCTGCGTCATCACACCACCACCGGAGCGCTGCCTCATCACACCACCACCGGGGCGCTGCGTCATCACACCACCACCGGAGCGCTGCGTCATCACACCACCACCGGAGCGCTGCGTCATCACACCACCACCGGAGCGCTGCGTCATCACACCACCACCGGAGCGCTGCGTCATCACATCACCACCGGAGCGCTGCGTCATCACACCACCACCGGAGCGCTGCGTCATCACACCACCACCGGAGCGCTGCCTCATCACATCACCACCGGGGCGCTGCGTCCTCACACCACCATCGGGGCGCTGCGTTATCACACCACCACAGGAGCACTGCGTCGTCACACCGCCATCAGAGCGTTGCGTCATCACATCACCACCGGAGCGCAGCGTCATCACATCACCACCGGAGCGCTGCGTCATCACATCACCACCCGAGCGCTGCGTCGTCACACCGCCATCAGAGCGTTGCGTCATCACATCACCACCGGAGCGCAGCGTCATCACATCACCACCGGAGCGCTGCGTCATCACATCACCACCCGAGCGCTGCGTCGTCACACCACCATCGGGGCGCTGTGTCATCACACCATATGTTTCGACAGCAGAGGCGCGTGGGTGAACTCGAAGGCTGCAGGCGTCAGGTGGGTCGCTGCCGCGAGGGACGCCCATCCGTCCCTCCAGAGATTCGCCTGCGGAAACATTGATGCGGAGAGGTGATTGTTTGACTTCGCCTGGGTCGACCGGACAGGTTATTCAAAAGGTATCATGAAACGTGAAATAAGATAATGAAAATGATAAAAACCGAAGATAGAATTCGCATAGAAATAATCGTTCTCAGGACTTCGCATATCCATAAATCCAGTTTAAAAAATTCCAAGGATCTTCAAGGATCAAAGGTCCGGTATTCACTTCCAGATAGTCAGAACGAAATCCATGGACTAACATCTAGCGACACTCGTTCCGAAATCCATCCATCAGCTCGGGTCCATGCATTCAGATAGATGCATATCATTTTGTAAGACCAAGTCCTGAACTGTTTAGAACAATGGCACTGGTGCGCTGCAGTTGACTTTATGATAAAGCGTAGCGCAATTGTTCACTAAATCTCTGACAGATATGCTATAAATGGCACCAGTCAGAAGGGTCAACCGTTAGGGTATCTGCAGTTCTGATTCCACAAATTGTGGCTGTCCTAAGAGGAGGATGGGTATCACGTGCTCCTTCTCGCTCCATGCGGTGTGGCAGGATCTATATATCTCACGTCGGGATGGCGGGACAAATATTAGCTCATTGTCTGCCAGCCCTTTTTCAAAACGCTGAGAGTGAATTCGGGGCATCTCCACACGACACCATCATCTGTTTCCGATTGGAAATACGGCTTCTTGCGAACACGGCGAAGGGGAGCACCAGCATAATGTGTGACAGCCATCGTTGCAGATCTGCATTATGCCACGCATGCAGAGCCGGAAGACACGTATCTGTCCCGGAGTTTTTATTTGGAAAGATCCATAATGCAGACTGGGACGTATCACAAGCTCGCTTCAAACTGAACTGATACCGCGTCGTTCTGGGCCCTGATGTCTGTTGCAGCGTATCATGTGCTTTTGCGCAGACATCAGCCTCATCAAGGCCCTCTTCCCAGCGTTGATTTTCCTGTTCCATGTCGATCGCAATGGTGGCTGGCCCTCGAAAGCTCGAGGGGGTCCACAACAGTCGGGCTGATGCCAGCGAACGGGTGCATCACTGCCGCCCGCAGTCGGTCGGGCCAGGACCGGAGCGTGCAATACACCCAGTGCAGCATGTCCATGTCGACATGAACCATTTCAAGCTTATGACGCCGCATGGGACGTCGCGCTATGATAATGATATGATGTGATGGCCAACGACATGTGATAACGATATGATGTAGGTGGCCAACGACATGTGATAACGATATGATGTGGTGGCCAACGACATGTGATAACGATATGATGTGGTGGCCAACGACATGTGATAACGATATGATGTGGTGGCCAACGACATGTGATAAAGAGCAACTGGTAAGCACCAATTTGTGTGCACCCTTGCGCGACATGCTTAGACAGCAGCCATCTAAAACCGCTGCACTACATTTCTGTCAGTGTGAAGTGGTGTTAAATTCGAGTGATATTAAATCATTTTCCCCTTACTATTTGCGTGAAATCCTTAATACTTCACTGTTCACATACTGTATGACCAACGAATGGCTATTGTCCCGCATAATGCCCACCTCGTTATGCCGAGTTCCGAGTTTTTTTAGAGGACCGCGTCTCCAAAGTGTCTTTATTCAATTCAAGACAAACATTGAGGACAGTTTATGTTTTTATTGCCAAAGCCGCATACCATCTTCAACGCAGAGCGAAAGCGGTTGCAAGCTACATCGGGGGCGATTATTTGCTGGCGCGCGCTGGGCGTCACAGCATCGAAAAGCCCCAGGTGCGCCATCCGTCACCGCCGGGAGACAGCTCTGAACGGCACCCTCGCGTACAGCTGGACAACGCGCAGCTCGGCTGCACGAGATTCTACAAAAATACGCAGCGAAAGCAGCGGAACGCCCAGTCAGGTCACACAACAAAAACGAGCAGGTACAACGGCACAGTGAAACGCTTGACACTGCAGGCTGTACAAGCACCAAACATGCACAGAAAGCACAGCGTTTTTTTCCCGCGGCCAACAAGCCTCACGCGGGCGACGGAGAAAGTAAAACATCCACCACTCCCGGCAGGCACCGCAGCATACTGCGGCGGTGCGTGACCATGCAGCCAGGAATACCGTTCCTGTGTGACCTGTGTAGGTACAGCAGCAAACGCCACGGCAGCTGCGAACGTCAAACACGACACTAACATTACGCAGGCCGTCACACACTCACACACAGTTCTCTCGCCGGCGCCGGCCTTTGTGGCGCCGCCCGTCCGGACCGCCTCCGCCGAGTCGCACAACCTCACGCGCGCTCACCAGTCGCTCGCGGCGGGGCGGGGAGCGGGCGCGAGCTCTGGGCCCGG